ATCATACCCTCAGTCATGCTGTTACACACACTCACACTGTCCTACACAGCCACACTGTCACACCTTCAGCCACACAACCACACACAATCACGCTGTCACACACAGCCATGCTGTCATATCCTGATCCATGCTGTCACACCTTCAACCACAAAACCACCCACAGCCCCACTATCATACATGACTACCATGTCCTAACTTCAGCCATGCAGTCACACAGCCACACTATCACACAGTCATGTGTCACTGCCACAGTGTCACCTGCACAACTATGTCATCTGTCACATCCCCAGTCATGCTATCACACACAGACATACTGTCACACCCTAAACTGTTCTGGTCACACACACCTCCAGCCACAAGGCCTCCTACACCTCACAGTTAGCCAACACTGACCCTCCCTCATACAGCACTAATGCCACGCTGATCAACAGACACACCCCAACACCCGCAGCCTGGGTACCCCTGCAGCTGTGCTCGAAATGTGACCACACAGAGCCACTTCCCCACTCAGTCGCAAGGATCCCTGTACCCCCAGAGTGTGGCACACAACAGCCCTTTGACTGATGTCTGAACCAAACCAGTCATCTCGATGACACGACCACACACCCTCACTGTCATAGTGTCATGGAGCAAGCAGCTAGCAGACATGCAACTACTGCAGAAGAGCTTAAATTCACTCTGATAACACACACTTACAGTGTCCCCATTGCAGGTGACAGATACACACCTCACACTGCCACACAATGCCCACAGTCCCTGGACAGAGCTACAAAGAAACAGCCAGTGACAACCACACCAATGGTTACAAGGACATACTGTCACACAACAGTCAGTCTCCCCAGTGCCTGTCCCCACATTGCGACAGCCCCCTAGGCCATCCCAACAAGCACTCGAGCGTGCTAACATAGCCCCAAGATAGTGACTGGGACACCCCCAGGCCCCTAAGTCGTGAGATGGTGACAGGCCCACGCTGACACCCTCCCTCCCCTCTCCACTTGGTGCATGTCAAGCTGGGGAGGAGGGGGCTAATGGACGCGCAGCTGTTGGTAGTGGGTGCCAGCCCCCCCACCTCATGAATATTCATCATCTGGGGCTCTCCTGAACCTGTGGGGAGCCGGAGGTCCCAGGCAGCTGGGCACCCCCTTCTGTGCCAGGAGGCCCTCAGGTGAGGGGGGGCTCAGCTTGGCCCCCGCAGCACTCAGAACCCACACCCAGCTCCACACATAAGTTCACACAGGCTTGTGAACACACACTCAGACACACAGGCAACAGCCACACAAACGCACAAGTACACACAGATATACAATCACATCCAACAACACAACCACTCACCATCACACACACACGCACACACCAGGCATGCAAACAGGCACAGACACAATCCTGTGGACTCATAATTGCAATCACACACTATCACACCCGAACCACACACACACACACCAGGCATGCACACACAGGGGCACACACACACTCAGTCACACCAGCACAAACACACAGAACATCACATCCAAGGTACATGGACGCTCACCATCACACACATATTTCCAAACACAAAGCATCCAGTCACTTCCAAACTACAACCACTCCTCATAAAAACACCCACATAAGCGTGCAAACATGGACCCACAAATTCACACAAGCATATAGTGCCACTGACTTAAATGCAGACACACACACAACCACTCCCAAACAGCACCGTCACCCACCATCTCACACACACACACCCGAGGAGCTCGCTCTGCCCACCGCTGACGTTTTATAGATAGGGAAACCTAGGCATTGAGAAGCTGAAGGAGGACGGGGTGCCTCCTGACCCCCGGCAGGGCCTCGGGCCGGGCGCCCCCTGCCGGCTTGGCCCCTTCAAGAGCGCGCGGGGAGGCGGCGCGCGCGGGGCGGGCACGCGCCTGACGTAACCATGGCATTCTCCTGGCACGCGCGGCCTGCGCGCTGGGAGGGCGGGGCGGGCGCGTTGCCATGGCGCCGGCGGGCCGCGTGAATGGGGCATTGTTCGCCGAGGCGCCCGGGCCGGGCTGTCCTGGACCCACCCGGACTCGCCCAGGCAGATGAGACGAGAAGAGATGGGGAAGTGGGGAGAGACGGGGAGAGATGGGAAGAGACAAGGAGATGGGGAGACCTGGAGAGAGCTGGGGAGAAATGGAAAGATGGAGAGAGGGAAAGACAGGGAGTGGAGAGATATAGAGAGAGACGGGGAGAAACAGAGATGAGGAGAGAGGGAAAGATGGGAAGATGGGGAGAGAGAGAAAAACATAAGACAGGAAACGATTTCAGAGAGGGGGACACATAGACAAGGAGAGACAGAGTGGGAGAGATGACACAGAAGGGAAGAGAGGGGGAGAAACGGCAGGAGGAGAGACACAGGAAAGACATGAAGGAAAGCAGAGATGGGGAGACATGGACAGAGCCATAGACGGGGAAAGGATGACACTGAGAAGCCAAGAGGGAAAGACAGAGATTGCAGTCAGAGTGATGGAAGAGACAGAGAGATGGGGAGAGAACTTGGAGATGGAGAGAAACTGACAAACAAGGAAGAACAGACAGAGGAAGAGAGCCAAGGAGAGGCAGAGCCAGGAGAGAGAGATGGGAGACGAAGGAGTGGAGTTGGAGGTGAACAGAACCAGTCAGCCAGTACCCACAGAGCCCCTGTGTGCCCGGAGAAAGTCAGAGACACTGAGAGGCGGGAGGAGACCCAGCCATAGAGAGACACAGGGAGGTGGAGAGTCAGAAATACCCAGACGTGGGGGACTGAAGGGAGAGAAACTTGGACCTCAGTTGCTTGCTCTGAGTCTCTAGTCTCACTGGCCCCAACCCTGGTCACGCCTGGCCTCCTCCACCTGCCCTTGGACGACTTGCCTTCCCTGGTTTGACGCACTTGGAAAGCTATACGTCTGCACACCCACACTGACAACACATCATCCCCACAGGGACACAGCCTTCGGGAACCCTGCCCCAGACACCCCAGGGCACACCCACCCAGAGACGCATGCCCTCAAGGACACAGTGACATCTCCCTCATATGGTCAGTCATAGCTGTGGACGTGCTTATGACGCCCAGGGACACTCATAGTGATGGGCACAGGCAGACCCATATCACCCATGTCACAAGGACTCACACAGGGACTCCTACCTCACAGTGATAGACACAGCCCTATGGATGCACTGTCACATGAAGACACAAGCTTTCATGGACCTTGTCAAACATGTAGTCACAGTCAGATATGGTCATGCCCTATCACAGAGCTCATACCTCCCCAGGAACACTGTCATATGTGGCCACCACCAGACACATGGTGCACCTTCATACCTGGACAAGTGTTCTCAGACTCACTGACACCCTCACAGACACACAAGCACCTTCCACCCTGCATCTGATCCACTGACCAGCCACCCTGTCCCATGGGCAGGGGTGCTGGTCCAGTTCTTCACATTTGAGTCGGTGGGGGCTACGAGTAGTCACCAGTGGAGGTAGGGATGGGGGGAAAGAGAGGCAATGCCCCACCTCTAGTCTCCCCAAAAAGCTGAATTAGGTCAAGTCAGGGTGGTCCCCCAACTGCTTGCTGTGAAGGTCGGCTTGGCCCAAACCTGGACCAAGGGTGGCCCCTGGTGGCCATCATTGGTCTCTGCATCCATCTGTGAGAGATGACAGGTGGCCCAGGGGTGGAGACTGGAGCAGAGGGCAGAGGGTGGGCCCAGGCCAGAGCTCAGTACACAGAGTCCAGAGTGCAGATCCAGGGTCCAGAAGTGAGAATCCAAACATAGAATCAGAGCTGAAATCCAGATCCCAGAATCCAGAGTCCACATCCAGTAACCCAGAATCAGAATCTAGACCCTAGATTCCCAGATCTAGAATCCAGATCCAAGAAACCAGATCCCAGAATTCAGAATATAAAAATCCAGGTCTAAGGATACAGAAGCCAGATCCAAAAATCTCAGGTGCCAGAATCCAGATCAAAGAACCCAGCCTCTAAAATCCAAATAACTAAATCATAGAATCTAGAACCCACATCCAAGAACCCACATTCCAAGATCCAAAAAAATCTAGATCCTGTAATTTGGAATCTAGAATCCGGGACTCAAAATCCAGAGCCCAATTCCCAAAATCCATGTCCCATAGCCCAGCCCCTGCCTTCCCTGAGCCCTCCAGATTAGAGCTGGGTTGGTGGGGCAGGAACAAAGCAAAGGAACTGGGGAGGAGCCCCACAGAGACACAGTATTCGGACCAACAACCCTCTCCCAGCTGCTGCCCCTTCCCTGCCTGCCCCTGTGTGTTTACAGACACTCATATATACTGGAAGAACTCCAGCAGGATCCTACACAGACTCACACACCAGGCATACAGCCTGTGGCCATCAGAAGTACAGCCTCACACACCCTCGAAGACACCTGTGACCACAGTACACATGCACAACCACACACACACACAGAGGGTCACACACACTTATACCGTGACCCACATCATCCCTCAAAGACACAGGAGCTACCATCCGTTCTTCTTTCTGCACACAGACATACACTCATCTCTGCACCCACCTGGCCACCTCCACCCAAGCTCTGGGACACACAGGGACACACAAAACCCCACAACTCCCAGCCCTGTACACAGACACACTGGTAGAATCACAGAGGCCTGGACAGGCATGCGGGCACAGGCGTGCACACACACGCGCACACACACTCCTCCGAGCTCAGAGAAGCCCTGTGCCTTGGCAACCACACAGCCCCAGGGAACGGGACCCCTGGGAAGGGGCTCACAGCGCACCCCCGTGCCCACCCCTGCTCTCCCCCGCCTGGCCGGCTGGCGAGCTTTAATACAGATGCCAAACTCATAATTGTAACTGAGGGTGACAGGGTCACCTTGAGCCCCAGATGCTCGTGTGGTGACAGATGGCGTTGGCAAACCTGATTAGCAGCCCCCGTGCCAGCGCCTGTGGCACCTGCATCCCAGCCCCTCCCCTGCTCCCCCACCACTCATTACCCACCCATTACTGGGCCTGGGGGGCAGGGGGTGGGGGCTGGTTGGCGCTGCCCGGGAGGGGGCAGGGACTCTGGGGCCCCCTGGCACCAAGGTTCCCAGCTGGCTCCTCTGGCTGGCAAGGGGTGGGCACAGCTGAAGGGGGAGCAGACACCTCATGCCCGCCAGAGAGAGGGGTGACTGTGGTGCCAGGGCTGAGCTGCTCGCTTGGAGGCTGCTTGGGGTTTGGCACAGGACCCTGAAGAGGGGAGAGACCCCCCCCCGACACAGGCCCCTCATGACTCCCCCTAGGGCTCCTCGAGCAAGGCCTTGGGAGCAGCCTGCCTGGCCTGTTCCCATCCCTCCATGCTGGCCTGCAGGGTCAGAGGTCACGGGCTCTCACGCCCCACTGGCCCATCTGTTTCCTCAGGTCCCCCCGCCTCCTGCTCCCCTCACCTGGGACCTTCCTTCCTGAGGCAGGAAGAGGACTGAGGGGGCCCAGTTGCCCGGCCCCCGCCCTGCGCTCCGGGGGGCATTTGGAGGCAACCCTGACAGCACCACATGTCCCTGCGTCTGTGCCAGACGGCCCCATCTGCTAGGGCTCTGGTTCCAGCCACCCAGAGCCAGGCCTCCCGTGTCCAGCCGCAGACCCCACGCCCCTCGATGCCCACGCCCGCCACAGCCACTCTGCCTGCCCCTCCCAGGGAGCCCCACCGGAGGAACAGACACACACAGCTGGGCTCAGCCAACCTTTATGGTTCCTGTGGAATTCTGTGCCAGGTGTGGCGCTTTGTGGAGACTCCTGTGGGGGTGGGGCAGGGGCCGTCAAGGGAAGGGGCTGCTGAGAGCACATGGGTCCTGCCTTGATATCAGGGACCTGTGCTGTACCCCAGCAGCTGCGTCTGCCTGCCTGCTTTGGGTCACCGCTGGGTCTCCAGGTCTGGGTGGGGCTGTCTGTCCTCCCTGCAACTGGGAGTGTGTCTTTGACTCATTCTGTGAGAGGCAGTGCAACCTAGTGGTTGAGAGTGGATGACAGGCTGCCTGGGTTCAAATCCCAACTCTACCATTTACTGCGGTGTGACCCTGAGTGGGGCCTCGGTTTCCTCATCTGTAAAAATGGGGTGATATTAGCCCCTATCTCATAGGGTTGCAGTGAAACTTCCACGAGTTAGTACGTGTGAAATGCTTAGCACCGACCTCTCAATAACGGTATGCTATACTGACAGTCCTATGAGTCAGAATCGACTCAATGGCAACCGGTTTGGTGTTTCTTTTTTTTTTTCCCCTTCCTTCCTTTCTTTCTTTCTTTCTTTTTTTTTTTTTTTTGTATACTAATGGTAAGGAGCCCTACTGACACAGTGATTAAGCACTTGGATGTTAACCAAAAGGCTGTCAGTTTGAACCCACCAATGGCTCCTTGGGAGAAAGATGTGGCAGTCAGCTTCCGTAAAGATTAAAACCAAACCATACCCATTGCTGTCAAGTCAATTTGATTCCAACTCACAGCTACCCTATAGGACAGAGTAGAACTGCTCCATAGGGTTTCCAAGGAGTGGCTGATGGATTCGAACTGCCAACATTTTGGTTAGCAGCCCAGCTCTTAACCACTGCGCCACCAGGGCTCCTCTGTAAAGATTACAGCCTTGGAAATGCTATGGGGCAGTTTTCTTTTGTCCTATAGGGTCATTATGAGTCGGAATTGACTAAATGGCAGCTGGTTTTCGTTTTATACCATTAGTGTTCTACCCCATGGTTGGGCCTGCGTCCAGGGTCCCCAGGAGCAAGGAAGGGCCTGGACCTGCCTGCTTGCCCCAGCATCCCTGGCCTCTTGACTCAGGGTACACCAGCCAAGTTGGCGACTCTGCCCATCTCCCTCCCAAGCGCCCGTGTCTGTGCGTCCATCCATGGTGCTCAGCTCACAGCTTCGGGCTGCACTGACACCCCTCAACCAGCATGGTGGATGTCTTCACCCGCCGACGGGAGGCTGGGCTGCCCGCCTGACACCACAGGACCACAGGTGTCCAGCGCTTGCGAGTGGGTACACAGCTGCTGCAGAGGACGATCAGGGAGGCATCTGAACTGGGAACGTAGAAGGAGGAGCAGCGGCCAAAGCAGAGGTGGTTGCGGAGGCGGGCGGCTGTGCAGCCGGGATGGGAGAGCACCTGGGGCCAGAGGCAGGGAAACAGATCAGGGTAATGGAGTCTGGGGTCAGGGTGTTGAGATTAATCTCTGTCCACGTCCACCCACCTTGAGAGGCATGGACACTGGCGCCAGTCTACCTGGGTTAAAATCCTGACTCTGCCATTTGCTGGTTGTGTGACTCAACCTCTCTGTGCTTTGGTTTCCTTACCTGCAAAATCGTCGAGGTTCAACCAGGAAAAAAAAGAAACCTCTCTAGGTCTTTCAACAGAGGGAATGTAATACAGGGACTTGGTTATCCAGGGAACAGAGAGACTGAAAAGCCAAGCAGGAGATGACAAGGCAGCCCCCTGGAATTAGAACCAGCAGGAAGCCACTGCCACCCCCCCGGGATGGTGGACAGCAGAAGCCGGTGGTATTACCAGAGCCCAAAAGGACTAATCAGAAAGCCCATTGTCCACTGCTGGCACACAGTCGGTGCTCAATAAATGTTACTTCCTCCTATGATTGCCACTATCTAAGCAGATGTATCAACTTGCACTTGCATCCAGGTCCTGGCCCTTCTCTGCTTACACCTTGCACCCTCCCACTCCCCTCACTAGGCTTCTCATCTTCCTTAGAATAAAATCCAAAGTCCTCCCCAAGGCCCACAAGTCCCGGCACACTCTGCTCCTGCCACCCTCCTGCCTTCATCTCCCCTACTCTCCACTCACTCTGCCCCAGCCACACTGGCCTCTTTCATGTTCTTCTAATACATTCAGTTCCTTCCTGTGGCCAGACCTTTGGCCCCACTGGGCCCTCCACCTGGATTATTCTTCCATCCACCCCTCCCCACACCCTCCAACTCATCCTTCCTCCCTCAGAGGCAGTTCCAAGGGAAATTACGCCCCCCGATGGTGGTCTTTCCCATAGCACCCTACTCTCTTCATGGTGCTCACTGCAATTTATAGTTATGGTCCTCTGGGGTGTTTGCTCTTTTATTGTTTCTCTCTCTCCTAGAACATGAGCTACTTGTAGGCAGGAACTTTCTCTGTCTTCTTTATGGTATAACCACAGTAGGTAGTTAATAAGAGGTGATACTTATTAAACCCTAATGCCATGCTAGGCCCTGTACTAAGCACCTTACTCATATTAACTCTTCATCCTCCCAATGACACTGTGAGGCCAGTACGCTTACTATCCCCATTTACAGATGAGGAGACTGAGGCACAGAGAAGACCCTTACCTAAAGTCACACAGCTGCTAAGGGTGCTGCTAGCCCTTAGGGCGTGTCTGTGTCAATTAGGATAAGGCACCTGTTATGGATTGAATTGTGTCCCCCCAAAACATGTGTTGTAAATCCTAACCCCTATACCCATTGTTGTCGAGTTGATTCCGACTCATAGGGACCCTATAGGACAGAGTAGAACTGTCTCATAGGGTTTCCAAGGAGCACTTGGTGGATTCAAGCTGCCAACCTTTTGGTTAGCAGTCGTAGCTCTTAACCACTACATCACCAGGGTTTCCCCTACCCCCTATAGTGGTTATAATCTCATTTGGGAATGGATTTTCTTTGTTATGTTAATTAGGCAGTATTAGTGTACGGTGTGTCTTAAATCAATCTCTTCTGAGATACAAAAGAGCAGATTAAGCAAGCAAGCAAGCAGAGATGGGAGAAGATAGACGCCACGCCACATGAAAATCCCCGAGGAACAGACGCTCAAAAGAGACAAGGACTTTTCCCAGAGAAAGAAAGCCTCCCCCTAGAGCCGGCGCCCTGAATTCAGACTTCTAGCCTTCTAAACCGTGAAAAAATAAATGTCTGTTGGCTAAAGCCACCCACTCATGGTATTTCTGTTATAGCAACACTAGAAAACTAAGCACCCCTCTGGGATGGCTGCAGCTCTGGGTGAGGGTGCACAGCTGGATCCCGGGCCTGGGGTCCCTTCTGCTGGGTGCATCATGTGCAGCTGCATGGAGAGCTCTGTGGCTAGTAAGTGGCAACGGCAGGATGCGGGAGAAGGCAGCCTGGTTCTAGGGCCACGCAATCGCCACTGCATCTCACGGCCTCTCTGCAAAGGCTTGCTGGACAAGTAATGAGCCCCGGGAGCTGACCCCCTGCCAGGCATAGGCCCAAGCACCATGCATGAATCCTCAACTGCTATTAACTCCACTTCCCTGAGGTGGGAACTGAGGCTCAGAGAAGAGAAGCCACTTGTCCTGCGTCACACAGAAATCAGAAGTTAAGGCAGGATTTGAACCCAGATGCACTTAACCGGTGCACCATATAAATTCCCACAAGCCTCCCCGCTCATGGAGCAGCCACTGAACACAGCTGTGAGAGTGCCCATGCCCATCTCATTATGGCTGCCAAAAACCCCTTAGGAGGCAGGCACTGCTATTATTCATTCAACCAACACTTACTGAGCATCTGTTATATACCTGGCTCTGCTCTAGGACCTGGGGACGGGGTCACAGCAGTGAACAAGACAGATAAAAATCCCTGCCCTAGTGGAGTGAATGGACATTTTAGCAGGAGAGATAAAGGGAAAAGGCAATTATAAAGTAAGTTTCATAATAAATGTATTACAAAATGTTAGGTGATGCTGTGTGCTACAGACAGAAACAAAGCAGGAGAAGGGGAGCATGGTGGGACGTACTACATTTTTAAACAGACGATGTTTGAGAAAAACCTGAAGGAGGTGAGGGAAGGCGCTATAAGAATGTCTAGAGAAGAGGGCTCAAGGCAATCAGAACAGTCAGCGCAAAGGCCCTGAGGTAGATATAACCTTGGTGTGCCTCAGGAACAGGGAGGAGGCTAGTGTGGCTGGAGTGCAGTGAATGAGGGGAGAGGAGGTCAGAGGTGATGAGGGCAGAGAGTGCAGGGCCTCATGTGCCAGGCTTTGTGTGCCGTGGGAAGGACTTGGGCTTTTGCTCTGAGTGACGTGGGAGTAATGGAGGGTTCTGAGCAGAGGAGGTACCTGACCTGACTCAGGTGCTCACAGGCGCCCTCTGGCTGATGAATGGAAAATACCCTGGGGGCTTCCCAAGAGCAGAAACCCTGAGATCAGGTGGAGGTGACTGCATGGCCCAGGCGGGAGAGGACTATGCCCCATTTTACAAAGCAGGAAACTGAGGCTCAGAAGCATCTAGGTGGAAGAAGCAGGACTTGAATCTAGGCCTGTCCAGGGCTGGAGCCCGTGCTCTTTGCCAGCAATGAAACCCAGCCCCTTCCTCCTCTACACGCTCACCTGAGTGAAGGGCATGGCTTTGCATGTCTCCCGGGCCACTTCCTGCGGGTCCAGTGGCAGAAACCCAGTGGTGGTAGTGGCCACCTCCTGTCCCTTCTGCATGGTCTCCAGCCACCTGGTTTTCTGCAGACCCAAGAAGGCCTTCCAGCTGCTGAGGGCAGAGACTGTCACCTGGGGGCCCGGGACCACTCGGCTCAGATCCTGGGTCCTGTTGGCAGCAGCCCAGGGCTGAGGTGGGGGACCCTGGGGTACAAGTGCCAGGCCTGAGCCTGTGGGTAGCCAGGCCCCACTAAGCAGGCTCAGGAGAGTGGTCAGCCAGCTGAGGAGCATCTGCTTGTCCATCTGTCTGTCCGTCAGCCTGGGACTGGGCTCAGGGTCCTGGGCAGTGGATCCTGCTGTCTTGTGAATGGAGTCTGGGCTCTCCAGACCCTCTTTATATCACTTGCCCCCCACCAGGGCAGTATGAGAGGCGCCTCTGTAAACCCACCACGGGGGAGGAATGTAAACCTGGCCCTCCTTGGTTCCCGCCCCGCCCCCCATCCTGGGAAACGGGGGCTGAGGGCTGGGCCTGAGGGTGTGTGGTCTGTAGGGACCAGGAAAGGCAGGTGTAGGGACAGGACGCTGAGGGGCACAATGCCTGAGGCCTTTGAGGGGCTGCTTTCCTTGTCCCAGGCCCCTGTTCATTCATTTAGCAAAATCCGAGGCTTTTTGGGTTAGAGTCCCAGCATCGCAATTTCCTGGCTGTGCAACCTTGGGAAAGTCCCTTAACCACTCTGGACCTCAGCTTCTTCTGTAAAATAGGGATAAGAACAGAACTTACCTCACAGGGTTGTTCTGAGAACTCAATGAGACAATTTATATAAGGAGCTTAAAACAGGGGCTGATACATAGTAAGCACCGTGGGTCAGCTATGATTAACATTATTGCCGTTTTTATTTTTCCTTTAGCACCGGTTATAGGCCAGGCATAATTCTGAGCCCTGGGGACAAAGGGAGCAAGACAGAAAACCAGTCCTCACTGTCACAGATTTTACATTGTGGTGGGGAAAACAGATAATAAAAATTAAGATGAGTTCACAGTCTTGAGTGTTAAGAAGATATTGAAATGGGGTGTGCCTCAGGAGGGTAAGTGGGAGTCTTCTATCCCCAGGGTGGTCGGGGAAGGTCTCTCCTATGCGGTGATATTTTTGCAAAGACCTGAGATGAGGCTGGAGGCTGTGGGAACCCCAAAGGCAGAGGCCTAGTGGGGGTTGGAGGTTAAAGAGGGTAGGAACTGAGTCCCAGGGTTTGGGGCCTTGGAGGCGCCTGGGGGGTCCGCACCAGGACCTGGCACTTCGGTGTCCCCCATCTCGCACCCAGGTGAGATGCTGCGAGGCCGCGGGGAGGTGAGAAGCAGCTTGTTCGGCAGTTCCCGCGCCCCAGACCCCAAGCCGGAGAGCGACGAGGCGCGCTCGCCCTCTGGCGGCGGTTCTCTTCACTGCGCGGCGGCCCTGCCCAGGACCCTTGCCTTCCAGACGCCCTACCTGGCGGTGCATGGACGCCTCCCACTCAGCCTTGCCACGTGCGAGGCCCAGATCGTCCCCCAAGCTGCCCTCCCGCGTCCTCCCCGACCCAGCTAAGGGTAGATCCGTCCTGCTGGGTGCTCAGGCCCCGAACCTTGAAGCATCCTTGATGGTCTTTCTCTGACCCTCATCACATCTGTATGACAGCAAGTCCGAGCCGCTTCAGAATCTACCTAGAATCCTCTCACTCCGTCTTCGCCCCTACCTGGTCCTGGCCCCACCACCCCTCACCCGGACCAGCGAAGCCACCTCCTCCCTGGTCTCCTAGCTCCGCCCTCATCCCCCCTCTCTGTTCTCTCCACAGCGCCCGGAGGGTGCCCATGAGCACCTGAGTCAGGGCAGGTTCCTCCACTGCTCAGAACCCTCCAGGGCTCCCAACTCGCTCGGGAACAAAGGCCCAAGTCCTCCCCGCGGCCCCCACGGCCCCGCACGATCTGCCCGCCCCTTCCTGCCCTTCTGGCTCGCTTGACCCCAACCACATGGGCTTCCTTGCTCTTCTGCAAACTCACCAAGCACAATAATACTGTGCAGCTGTACAAAAGGCTGCGGAAGCTCTTTAAGTTCCAAGCTCTTTAAGATATCCAATACAAATTATTAAGCTGAAAAAAAGATCCGAACAAGGTGTCTACTATGTTGACCTTTTTGGGGAAGGGGGAATAGGGACATAAAGCTACATTTACTTATATTTGCATGTTGAAAAGACCAGGACGGTTTTCCTGTTGAGGAGCTGCATGGAAATGGGTAGATGAGGATGGTGGGAGCTTCACTTTATAGTTTAAAATTTGTTTTACTCTATGTGCATGTATTGTCTGTTCAAAAAGAAAATTAAGAAAAGGGAAAGTCTCTCCCACTCTTAAGGCAGGGGCCCCCTTTTCCCTCCTAGAAAAGACCACTGTGACCTTCTTAGAAATACTTAAATATTTATGTCCTTTGCGTTCTTGTTTTTAAACACAGTTGAAAGCAGTCTATACTCCTGCTCTGCCTCTTGATTTTTCAATGAACAATTTCCCACGTTCAAGTAAGTATGGATAAAAATATAACAAACAGCCCTGTACTCATTATACAGGGTAAGAAATAAAAGATTACAGATACAAGGGAAACTAGCTCTATATCTTTCCCTGATCCCTGAATCTGTGAATTATAATCCCCAAACACACAACTGTTTTTTGTTTTAAATTTAATATACATGGTGTCACAGTGTGCGCATCCTTTTAACATTTACCTTTCCTTCACATCGTGTTCCTTCATTTTCACCACTGAAGAGTATTCCACTACACATATATATACCTGTTATAGATTGAACTATGTCCCCCAAAAACGTGTGTTATAAATCCTAGCCCCTATACTTGTGGTTATAATCCCATTTGGGAACGGGTTTACTTTGCTATGCTAATGAGGAAGTATTAGTGTAGGGTGTGTCTTAAATCAATCTCTTTTGAGATGTGTTATGGATTGGATTGTGTCCCCCAAAAATGTGTGTCAACTTGGCTAGGCCATGATTCCCAGTATTGTGTGATTGTCTACCATTTTGTCATCTGATACGATTTTCCGATGTGTTGTAAATCCTGCTTCTATGATGTTAATGAGGCAGGATTGGAGGCAATTATGTTAATGAGGCAGGACTCCATCTACAAAGATTAGGTTGTGCCTTGAGTTAATCTCTTGTGAGATACAAAGAGAGAATTGAGGAGCAGAGAGACAGGGGCAACTCCTACCACCAAGAAAGCAGCGCTGGGAGCAGAGCGCATCCTTTGGACCTGGGGTTCCTGCACTGAGAAGCTCCTAGGCCATGGGAAGATTGATGACAAGGACTTCCACCCAGAATCAACAGAGAGAGAAAGCCTTCCCCTAGAGCTGGGACCCTGAAATCGGACTTCTAGCCTCCTAAACTGTGAGAGAATAAATTTCTCTTTGTTAAAAACATCTACTTGTGGTAGTTCTGTTATAGCAGCACTAGATAACTAAGACAAGGTATATAAAAGAGATTAAACAAGTGAGCAAGCAGAGATGGAGGAAGATAGACGCCGTGCAACATGAAGATCACCAAGCAGCCAAGGAATAGAAGCTGAAGAGACAAGACTTTCCCCCAAAGCTGACAGAGAAAGCCTTCCCCTGGAGCTGGTGCCCTGATTTCAGACTTCTAGCCTCCAAAACTGTGAGAAAATTCTGTACGTTAAAGCCACCCACTTGTAGTATTTCTGTTATAGCAGCACTAGATAACTAAGACAACACCCCGACTGTGTATCTCCGTTTTCAATCACTTCATATGCATATTGCCAGATGGAAACCCCAGGTTTTGCTCTGCGGGACTCGGGACTCGTCTCAGACAATAAATGAGAGACTGAGATGGGAGATCAGAAAGGAGCTTTTATTTCATTGTGCACGGAAAGAAACAGTTGGGGCTGCTGCTGCCAGGACTGCTCAGTGAGGGCAAGAGGATAGGTTTACAAGCAGGAAGTTCACATAAGTTACATTCAGCAACATTCTTAATCATACTACACAGACACAACAGGGTTTACATATAGCTTCATGCATCACATGTTCAGAAAATGATGGTTAAACTCCACCCAGAGGCAGGAAAGTTACCATGTATGAGGTACTTAACGAAGTAAAATGTTATCCAGAATGTTAACATGGTACCTAAACTGATTTCCACCAATTGCCTCTAGTTCTGGGCAGCAGTTAAGGAAAGAGGAACCAGGATGTTAATGTAAAGCTATGGGGCATGTCAAACACGGGAACCAGGACGTTCATGTAAAGCTACCGGGCATGCCAAGCAAGCTGCTTGAGGCAGTGGAATTTTCCGCAGCCTGGAGACCTCTGTCTTATGCATGGGAAAGCTGGACAATGAATAAGAAAGACCGAAGAAGAATCAATGCCTTTGAATCATGGTGTTGGCAAATAATATTGAATATACCATGGACTGCCAGAAGAAGGAACAAATCTGTCTTGGGAGAAGTACAGCCAGAGTGCTCCTTAGAAGCAAGTACGGCAAGACTTCGTCTCACATACTTTGGACAGGTTATCAGGAAAACCCGTCGCTAGAGAAGGACGTCATGCTTGGTAGAAGAGTAGAGGGTCAACGAAAAAGAAGACCCTCAATGAGGTGGATTGACACAGTGGCTGCGACAATGGCCTCAAGCATAACAATGATTGTGAGGATGGCGCAGGACTGGGCAGTGTTTCGTTCTGTTGTACATAGTGTCGCTGTGAGTCAGAACTGACTCGACAGCACCGAACAACAATAACAACAACGTATCTCCATTATCCAGTTTGTAACTATTACAAAAAATCCCGCAAAGAACATTCTGGAACATGACTTTTGCACCTTGTTTTTTACATTTACTCTACCTGGAAGTCTGCTCTGTATTATGGATTGAATTGTGTCCCCTCAAAAGATATGTTGAAGTCCTAGTACCCTAGTACCTTTAAATGTGACTTTGTTTGGAAACTGGGTCTTTGAAGATGTTATCAGTTAAATTACTATGAGGTTATACTAGAGTAGGATAGGTCCAGATCCAATCTGAGTGTTGTCCTTATAGAAGAGACACAGAGGGAAGATGGCCCCGTGAAGACAGAAGCAGAGATAGGAGTGATGCATCTACAAGCCAAGGAATGCTAAAGATCACCAGTCATCACGAAAAACTAGAAGACATTCTGGGGACCATGGTTTCAGGGGACATCTAGGCCAATTGGCATAACAAAGTTTATTAAGAAAATGTTCTGCATCCCACTTTGGTGAGTGGCATCTGGGGTCTTAAAAGCTGGC